TGTCTGTCTGTCTGTCTGTCTGTCTGTCTGTCTGTCTGTCTGTCTGTCTGTCTGTTTGTTTGTTTCATTCTTTATCTGTTCTCCCTGTCACCCCCTTTTATTTCCTTTGTCTCTAAGTTCTTTTACTCTTTTGTACTTTGCTGTCACTTAATTATTCCTGTTTTCCATCCTCTTACATTGTACTTTCTTATCATCTCTTCCATCCTCATCTCTTTAACTCAAACCCCCGCCCCCTTTCCCCATCCAATATGCCATCCTTCTCAAATCCCCCACCCCCCTTGCGTTTCTCAGTTGGTATAACACTAGCTAGAAAACCCAACAGCTTTTCTTTTTTTTTCTTTCTTTGAATTGAAATTTTCCAGAGGATTAAAGTTTCTCAAGATCTTAGCTCGACTCTTTCAGAAATGGCCGTATAATCGTTCTTCAAGATATCACTTCTCAAGATATCTTTGAGTATTTTTAGTGGTGCCAAACCTATACGGTGCTATATCATTACTATACCCTTGTACCTTCAACCCCCCCCCCTCTCTCTCTCTCTCTCTCTCTCTCTCAAACACACACACACACACACACACACACACACACACACACACACACACACACACACACACACACTCACACAGCACACATTTTCTCTTTCGATCTCGTTTGTGCACTCATTTTCCGCTTTTATTGATCTTTTTCTAGACCTGTTTCCGTATCTATTTATTTCAAATTTACTATGATATGTCTAGGTTCCCCGTTCTTTTTCTTTTTTTCTATCATTTCTATAATATTATTCTGTTCCTCTCCATTTCACCGTCAATTTTATTTTACTCTGCTTGTATTAATTTACTTTTTGCCCCCATTTTACTTGAATGATTTCTTTTCTTTTTATTACTTTACTGTTAACCCCTCCCCCCCTCCCTACCTCACCCCTTTCTCCTTCATGTGGGTTTTTTCCTGTTTCAAATTCAAACACTTTAGCTTTCTGAGCACCCCCTTCCCCCTCAACTATCTCTGGCTCTCTCTGTCTCTCTCATTCTGTCTCTCTGTCTGCCTGTCTGTCTGACC